GCAAATAATCTAAGAATTTTGCCTTGCAAATTTGGGAGAGAAAGACTGAGACCGTGTGTGTGTGTGTGTGTGTGTGTGTGTGTGTGTGTGTGTGTTTGTGTGTGCGCGTGGGCAAATAATCTAAGAATTTTGCCTTGCAAATTTGGGAGAGAAAGACTGAGACCGTGTGTGTATGTGTGTTTGTGTGTGCGTGTTTGTGTTTTGGGAGTTTTTATATACTATAGCAAGCATATTGTGAGAACTAAGTTAACATGAGGTAATAAATTCATCCCTGCTCCCAAGCTGAGTAAAGTATCCCTTATAATAAAAGCTGAAATTTGTAGTCCCAATATTTTTCCCATGAATTGTCATACTGCTCTTTTCAGATCATGCTTATTAGCAATCTCATAGGAACCAGATGTTCAGCAGGCCTTTTACGCTATCAAGGCTTAGGATATAACAGTATTTCCTCCTACTGTAAAGATGATATACATTAGAACACTAGTGACTCCATAGAGCTTATGCATGCAGTAGCTCAGATTCATGGGGCCAAAAGGCCATTCTCTCTGAGAGGCTTGCACATGTTTAAGGGAAAATGTGCACACAGTTCCTATCCTTCAGACATGAACAAGGTTTTTGGTTCTTTGGAAGGCACAGGCTAGATATGTGATTCATGAGAATTATGCTGAAAAAAGTTGACTTAAGGCACAGAATTGAGAATCTAGCTGCTGGTGTGTACATTTAATATGGTATTTCTTTTTTTGCCACTAAAAGTTTTAAATGATGGTGCTCTTAGAATCAGTAACATCATAGAATCAAGGCTATATAGGTAGTGGCACAGTTGGATGATATCCATACCTATGGTTTGTCCATGTTCTGTTGGAATCTAGTCTCATCTCAGTGTGTGTTGTCTGTACTAGCCATGATGCCCATTGGGGAGGTTGTCACTGCACTGTGTTGCCTTGTATTTCCGGACATGGTTGGGTGGTCTTGGCTGTTAATTCTGGGAAGGAGGGCAGATGTTTATGCTGTACTGTTTTTCTCTTGTTTCAGTGCACGAAGGCAGCCCTCTGGGTGAACTCCATCGTTGTATCCGAGAGGGGGTAAAGGTGAATGTTCACATCCGCACTTTCAAGGGACTTCGGGGCGTCTGTACAGGCTTCCTCGTTGCATTTGACAAGTTCTGGAATATGGTAATTAAGCCTTTCTCCAGGGCCTGGGGAACCTCCTAGAGATTAAATCTGTTATATGTCTAATGGACCTGAGTAAACTTAGCAGGCAAAACTTACAGAATAACTTCCCAGAGGACTAGAATGTTTGCACACTTTTGGGCAACAACAACAACAACAAAAAGTTCTTTTTATTGCTTCCTTTTCCTTAAGGAAGTGGCTTTCAACTGGGGTGATTTGGCTCTTCCCTCCCTGGGACATTTGGCGATGTCTGGGGACGTTTTTTGATTATCACAACTGTAAGAGGAGGTGCTACTGGCAGCTAATAGGCAGAGGCCAGGAATGCTGCTAAACATCTTATAATACACAAGACAGCTCCCAACAAGAAAGTTATCCCGTCCAAAATGTCATTAATGCCAAGTTTGAGAAACCCAGACTTAGGGAATAATTACTTATTTCATCTGTTTAGCAATTTTAAGTTGATTTCCTACC